TATATATATATAGTCCTCCTAGCCTCAGTAAGACACATGGTTCCAGTCAAGAACTTTCATGCAGCTTGTCAAACCAGTGGGCTTATTCCACTACAGTGTACAAAGGCTGGAACTATGCAGTTCAGGATGTCTTACTCAGGACGACTGTGGTATGCAAGATGTTGGTTGGATCAGGAATGAATCCACTCTAATTTATAAAATGTTACTTACATGTTTTCACAAGCTGTACTGAAGGCATTCCACCATGGGTCAGACTTGTCAGTGGACGTACAGGTCTGGTCTTCAAATTTCTGTGTTTGGGTACAAATTGTGTATGTTATAATTATTCTTAGAAAGACGTACTCAAACTGTAAATACATTTACTTTCACAGTGGTTTTACTTTACAACATGAGGGAAAAGGAAGTTATATAAATTATGCGAATATAGAGTGATTTACAGTAGCAGGGACTAAAGATGGAGTTGCTGCAGTACCTGGATGAACTCATAGGTGATGCCCTCTCCAGCTGCAGCAATCCAGGACTGAATCTTCTGTTCAAACTCCTGAAGATGGAAGGATCAGACTTTGTATTAAGGGCAGAGAGGATGGAGTGTGTGCTTTCATATTGTTTCTAAATACATTGTGAACTAGTTTTATAGATCGTTTGAAAAAGTATACTTTCTCAAGACTGATGTATATCACGTTTGAAAGCTCAAAGGTGCGATGTATGTAACACATAGAGTTGTAACAGCTACTAAGCATATATGACTCAAAAAAATGAAAGACCTATTACCAACCAAAGTTTTCAGCAGATTTCCAAGGCTAATGAAGTATTGTTCTGTGCACAAGCAAGACAGCATCTAACACCAATACAGTCTAGCCAGCCACATGTGTACTTTATAATACAAATGTATTACTTTCAAGTCCTGAGTCGGAGCAATCCTGATGTCAAACCCTGCATACATCTCTGTAGGCACCACATTGTAGGCAACTCCTCCCTGAAAGACACAGGGATATCATTGGTCATCATAAATCACAGCACATTTATGCTATTACAATGTACTAGATATAACCTCCATTATCATTTATCTGCCAGGTACAAATGTAACATATATTAGTCAATTATATAGTGTTATATCTAGTATTATACATGTACTGGGAGATGGTGCATGGGAGATCTCTTTAGACACATTTTTCAAGGTAGCACAGATATGTGACCTAACATTTTTTTTTACATATACACATGTATAATGAAATGATGCCAAATGAAATCCATTCCAAGTTAAAGTTCTTCCAAACTTCATCCCTCTTACCTCCAACATTGTGAGGTTGACAGTGGTGACATCACCAAGTGTCAGACAGCCTCCTGACTTCTCCAGCCTGCACACAACATAAGGAGGAGAATCATCAGGTAACCGTTATTTTTATCAATAACATGAAAAAAAATGCAAAACAAGCAAAGTTTGGCTAATCAGGCACACTGGGACTTACTTGGCTTTCTGTTCTGCACGGAAGGCCAAGAAGGAGTTGATGACCTTTTGCTGTTGAAAGAGACACAAGTTTTCTGTTTCATTCCAAATGGCATTTTGAGGGGCACTGAAAACGAAACATCTTATAAAAAGCACCATAGGGTCTAATAAAAGTATACATCTTGTGCATTAAAAAAAAAGACAGGTACTGGATACAGTATTCTTGCATGTAATACTGCATCTTTTTCTAAGCCAAAACTCCCAATGTTTAAGTATTACTTAAATCAATGAACCAATTTGTTGAGTCATAACACTAGTAACAAACTTACCACTTTTTCAGCTGCAGTGTTCTCGATGAAGCGTGATCCATGTCCAGGGTTCCCTGTGCATTTCACTCGCACCCCTGTAGGGGGAGCTCTTTCAGGTCAGATTTAGGGTCTGGTTTCCAATCAATGTACATTGCAGATAATGGTACTTTTAATATGAACCTCTGTGTTATTACTTGTTCTTTAAAATACATATATAATTTAGGTTGAGGCCAGAGGTTCAAATTTTTAAAAGGTACTTGTCAATGAGCAATAATGATTGTGATAAAGATATGATTTGGGATATAACAAGTACATGTATTTCCTAAATTATCTGACTGTGGAAAATACTCAAAAGAAGGAAGTGCCTTAAGAAAGTATCATACATACACCAGGGTGCTCTTTCACCATAGAACACAGTGTATTCATCCAAGGGGTTGGCTAGTCCTGGAAAAAAGTAGCAAAATCATGAAAGGATGCTGAGTTTCTTTTAAGGTTTCTATTATTGCATATTCTTCATAAAAGCAGGAACAATGCAGATTACTCAAAAGAGGCAAATGTTTAGCTGTTGATAAAATAAACTGTACCTTCATCCAGTGCAAAGGCCACGTTTAAAGCCTTAAACTCTGGGTGCTCAATAAACTTCCACATGCCCAGTTTGCCACCAACTTCCTCATCTGAAAAGTACAGAAAACACAAATGCTTCTGAGAACTGAACCAAGAAGACTAATATTTGAGGGGGATCTTATGTAATGTTCAAGAAACAACATTGTAGAAAAATACAGAACAGCAAAGGATTTTTAAGTAGCAGGTGTTTGTCATGGTCTGACTTTGTTCAACCAAATAACTGCAGATAGCATCTGTGACATCACATTTCAATACCTCTTACCTTCATTTAACAGCAAATGATACAGGTAAAACTTTCACCTGGCACAAACGACAGGTGGATTGTCCTCTGGAATCTTTTCCCTTCTGCCTTCAGGCGTCGGATGGCCTCCAGATACCTGAGGACCGGTCCATGACAGATGGGAGGGGGTTTGTACAAATTGGAAACAGCATCTTCCACTAGTAATATGTAGTGACAATAACACACAAAGCATTCACACATACATGTTCACTTATTAAGTTATGATAGTTTGTGAAAAATCCACCACTCTGACCATTAACAGAAAAACACACCCAACATTTTCAGATATCTCTCCTCCCCCTTTAACATATGTGTAGAAGAATCAACCAAGGACTTGAGCAAGACATTGAGCCTATGTACAGTAATTGTAACATCCAAAAAGATGATTGATTGCAAATATTATTGGACTCACCATATGCCACAACATTTCATATCCTGCAACAGAAGTGAAATGACATAGTATTACTGGAACATCATGAATATGACATCACAAACTCAGGAGCAACTGTGACATTTCATCCAACAATTATGATTTATGTTCAATTTCATGCAAAGAGAAGTCTATATCATACATGTTAGTGCAGCACTGCATCTTGCAAATCCTTTCCCATCAGCTCAAGTCATGACATTTTCAGATACAGATTGCAGCAAGAATCAAAATTAATGTCTGTACTCACACATAATCATTAGATGTACAAAATGTAATAAATTCACTGGTGGGAAAACTAACAAAGACACTTTTTCAACTCGCTGTTACTGACATGTATGAGCAATGTGGCCAAAAGAACTAGCACTTTAAGAACTATTGTTTAAGGCAATTTCTTTATACTAGTACTTAGTAATTTACCTGAGTACCCCTTGCATAGATGTCTCCATTCTCCGTCTTGTCAGCAGAGAAAGGTTCACAACGCCAGTGTTCCTATGGGCAGAGAGAAGACTTAGAGAATAGAAATGTAGATTATGGGGGGAAAACTGAGCAAACCTTAATCAGACTTACTCTTTTGATACAAATTGTCATAAAAATGTTGAGTCATATGACTACCAAAAAGATTTCTCAGACTGAAAGAAAGGCTCCTCTCCCCTGTTTGATTTCTAACCTTCACCCTGCTAATTAAGCAATTTTCAAGGGCTTATGGCAGACAGAGCAGTCCATCTAATGTTGTACCTACAGGGAAGACTGGCACCACATCCGTGTGAGAGTTCAGCAGGATTGTGGGAAGGGTGGGGTCCTGTCCCTCCCACGTCATCAACACTACGGGCCTCCCAGGGTGCACCTGGAACAAAAGGGGTCATTTGATGATTCCAAGGCATTCATGACCATACAATCTAATACACACTATTCACAGACTTACTCAAGGGAACATATACTAGTATATAATTTCATAGTGACTGAATAAGTCAGTAAGATCCATGTGTTCCCTTTATGTAATACATGTAAGTTTTACTGTCTAAAATAATGGATTTTGTTCATACCAACGTCCTTGCTCAATTACACCTTCCCATAAATACACCTTCCCATAAGAAATCAGAAAATTGTTATTACACAGTCGTGCAATTTTGCTTACCATACAAAAACTCTAAGGCAACATCCAATTTTTGCACTTAAAGTCACCTTTCAAGCTACACAAACACAGTTGCCAGATCCTATGATCTTCTACAATTACAAAACAGATACATATACAGGTACAATGTAAGTCTATGTAATCAGAATAATCTGAATTCAGTGCACACACACACCTCAATGACTTTAGATGGCAGACCCAGCTCATCTGCATACTGTTGGAGGAAGACAACAGCACCAGCTACAGGGAACAGTGTTTGAAATTGCACATTTTAATAACAATATCATAAAATTGGTTTAGACAGAAAATTGAGTACATTCTAGGCACAGTCATGGATGTGACCATAGTCATGGATGTGACATACAAAATTCAGCTGTCACTCATCCCTGTTGGTTCTGTCAAACCTTGCAGAAAATTGTATGACAAAATAAAAAATGAATGACGTATGTTACCACATGGCTTACAGGTCACATAGCAATGGATTATCCCTACCATAGTCAGGGTCAGGGTGAACCGTCCTGATTCGCAAGTAGTCGCGGAACTTGGTGACTGCTGGGTCCTCCGTCTTATTCCGCTTGGCAGCCTTTCCCTCAGCTTCCGGCATGATGATGTTTTATGAATTGACTCAACTGGAATTGACAAACAGTATACTGCATTATATCATAATTGGTATTGCAGAGTATGTGACACATCAGTAGATAATCCCGCACTTAATAATTTGTAGTTTTATGCAAAAACAGAATAATATGTGACACTTTTGATAGTTTTAACCTGATGCTAGTGGCAATGTTGGGCAATTATGTGGGAAATTCAAGAGAACTTATTAATTATGACAACATATGCAATGCTGCTGTACTTTTTGAAACTTGTTTACTAATAGGACTGTGCCAAAACAGGACTGGCATGGAGTCCAAACACTTCCAAGCCAGGGCTGTAGCAATGCATGTGGTCACCAGGCTAAATACTTGTGGAATCTGCCCCTAGATTAGTTTAAATTTGATCACTGGCACTGATTCTTTTCTATTGTAGACCTCTATTGAATAAATGCATTGGAATCTCCCTAACAACTCAGGAATTGAGTCATCAGACAATTAAAATACCAAAGTACAAGCATGGCGAGGTTCAATTTGGTAAAGCAAGGAAAGATTGTAGACCTAGTACTAGCTAGAAGAAACAACGTAATGTGTTAAAATGTTACAGTTCGATTGTTATTGAAGAAAAGCATTCAAAGGCGTGCGAAAAGTCACAAGGAAAGCGTTGTTTACAAAATTTATCAGACGTCTGAAAAACAAGTGCACAGATTAATTTATATCACTCTCGTTGATTGTGTGACTATTACCATTGAGCCCACCAACACAGCTTTAAATGCAAGAAATAGCTGAGATGATTGGCAGCAATCACGCTGAAATATTTATCGTATTACTTATAGATTTCGTTTAGGGCAAGATTTACCTACATGTGTGCTCGGGATCGGGATTTGCACTCACTGCAGTGACCTTTGACCAAAACATCACATCACAACGACACGAAAACATACTACATCCTTGACAGAGCAGAGCTCGAGACACTTTCCTACTGAGTCATTCTCTCAAATCTACTACATTCACATTTAAAGACATCTAATATAATTTCATTTGCGGAAGAATTCGATAAATGCATCAAAGATGATACAAGGGTCCGTTTAGATGTCGTCTTAGCTGATTGACCGTACCATAATATTCTATAGGGGTGTGTTTAACAGAACTTAGAAAAACGCAAAATGAGAACAAACCAAAAAATATAATGCATATAAAACGTCAAATTGTACCTAATTATATTATTATTCAAAATGCTGTTTAGTTAATTGATCTGAATTGAAAAGTCTCATCAACCAATCACCCCTCTAGAACCTTAAATTGGTCCGTCCCTAAACTGGCTGAACAAGTGTCAAAACAAGTGTACGACACGTCGACAGTGTTGTGTTGTCTAAAGTACGAAGTCCGACCAAACCTCTATCTTCTGTCCCAAGCTCAGTTTGATAGGGCAGACGTAAGTGTTTATTTTGTGCACTTTTCACCTTTGCTCTCCGTAGTAGGGTTGTTCAGAAAGTCCGCGGTGCATGTACGTTGTTGGGGAGGGGTGTGTGCATGTTTTGTGTTTGAGGCATTTTTATCATGCATATCATAATCATACTGCGTTGTATATGTACTGTAGTGTAGTCAATTTTATCGTCTTTAAGACTATTCCATTTGCAAATTCCTCCAAACTACCCCAGCTTGTCTTATTTTTTTTTTCGAAATCATGACGGAGAATGAATATCTATTTTTAGATGCATATCCGCTATAGTGTTTGTGTGATCAACAAAATATTTGCTCAGAGCCATGGGCATGGATCTATTTCAATAGGCCTTGAACCGGTTTGGCCAGTTGTTGCTACTTTTGCCTATTTCAATCCATTAGTTGCTAGTATATGTTTTAGCAAGGGCATTATACATTCTGTGTAATGTCCTTGATATTAAAGGCACCCTGCTCTTGGGAGAAACCAGGCTACAACAATTATTGTATTGTAGTTGTTTCTAGTCAGAACTGGGCAAATTTTTTAATGACCAGGACAACACTGGATAGCTAGAGATCTTGTTGCTAGAAGTAAACACAGAGGTTTCCTACTAGCCAGGGTTCCATCCTGGTTAGTTTACGTCCGCTCCCACAGTCGCTACCCCAACCAGGTAGGTTAGGTAGGTACCTGTTGGTAGCGACTGTGGGAGCAGACGTAAACTAACCAGGATGGAACCCAGGCTAGTTTCCTACAGTATTTGTTTTTCTATGTAACATTACTATTGATGTCTAACAGTAACAATATAGTAGTCTAACATACTAATGAAATACAAATGTCCATAACATACGATTTACTGACATAAATTCAGTTGTAGGGGCTTGTCGACGTTGGTCATTTATTGCCAGAAAAAAAAATCTGATTAATTTAGACCCATTGTAACTTTAACCCATGACATTTGACCCCTAGATGTCTGGTTCATCCCAGGTCATGTTGAAGACCTCCTTCTGGACAAACGTGTTTGTGGTAGGTGGAGTGGTGTTCCTGGCACTGGTGTTCTACCTGGGAGCCATCCACCTCCCCAACAGTGACCCGGAGAAGACTGTGTCCCTCAGCAGTAATAAGGGAGGAGGTGGAATGGGAGGTGTTCTCAGAATGGATGAACAGGTACATGTAGGGCTTTACAAATGAGAAACAGGTTTTACCACCCCTTAGACCTTAGGTTTTTCTGCCAATCCATGATCTGAAACTGTCCTTTGTCTCTAACAAGGTTTTATAGATGATTATGTTACCCCCCGGTAGATCAAATAATTTTTCACGTTTGAGACTTGCTATATTACATCTGTACGTACATTGTATGTATGGTAGGAATTTTTTTTTCACAGCAAGCCTAGTATGTGAAGGAGAAAGTGGGTCAAAGTTCATTACATGGACATGCAGCACAAAACATTTTCCCATGGACCAGTACATTCTTAATCAGCACATGCCTAGTTCAAGGCTGAACTAAATCATGCAAGTTGTTCATCTGTACTAATTTTTGTAGATTCCTGCAATTCAGAACAGAATTGGCAAATGTGCCTGAATGAAGGACTTCAAATAAGTTAGAAACTATTTCACAATTTTACATATATTTGCCTATCTTTTAAGTGTCACTTTGATGGATTAGATGAAACAACTTAGCTGCTTGAACTCTCGACGTGTGTGTTTCCTTCTTTTAAATCTCTCCAATCCCCACAGATATATCCCCACCTTCTTGAGTTTGGAGGAGCCAGAGTGTGGTACCAGGAGAAAGTCCCACCGAATCCCAAGTGTGACGTGCTGTTGTTACATGGACAGGCCTTTATCTCTCAGACCTGGGTGGACCTGGGGACTGTGGACAAGCTGGCCGACGCTGGATGCAGGGTCGTGGGTCTTGACTTACCGGGTATGTGTGTGATTTTACTTACAGTCATGATTGTCCAAAGCTATGGCAAATCCTTACATTTTTGGGTCTAAACGAGAAGCTAGCATAACTGTTAGAATTATGTTGCAAATCCTTGCATTTTCTGAACATGAAACTCACTTTAAATTGTCTTGATTGTTTCATTAGGCTACGGCAAATCATGGATGGCGGCCAGGGGGCAGGATCCCATCAAGCCGCCAGGGTTCCTGCACAAGTTTATAATTGCTGCCAAGCTGAACAAACCGTTTATCGTCAGCCCCTCCATGAGCGGCTCTTTTTCCCTCTCCCACCTGATGGAACATCCTGACGACATCTCAGGCTTCATCCCCATAGCTCCAGTTGACACGCAAAAGTACAAAGACGAAGACTATAAGAAAGTCAAGGTAAGAAACCTGGTGTCCTTGTGTACATCTTACAATATTTAAAATTTCACCCAGTTGCTTTCTGGAAAGTAGTTATGAAAAACTTTTTTTGGGTGTGTTGCTGCACCTTGCGCAGTTCATTTAATTCGCACCATTGACATCAATATATCATGTACAATGACAGTGTGTGTGACCTAAGCTTCCATTTGCACATTGTTAGACCCCGACTCTCATTATCTACGGTGAGGAAGACAAGAGTCTTGGCGTGCAATCGTACGAGAGGTTGAAGAACCTGCCAAACTCCCAGGTTCACGTACTGCCCAAGGCTAAACACCCCTGCTACCTGGACCAGCCGGACATGTTCCACCACCTGGTCACCGAATTTATCCAGAGGAACACCAAGGACTGAGGAGCAGTGTTCTTATCCATCGGTTATAAATATATCAACAGATGATCTTTTGAGAATTTTTTCTTCTGTTTTACTAATGATATGATCATTATGTAAAGCTTGTTCATGCTTTTGTTCTGACTTGTTTTTGTAGAACTGGTTGTAAAAGGAGTTACAAAGGGCATACATGTAGCTGTGTATGTGTGAATTGGTTGTGGTATTAGATAAAATGCTATTCTAATTTTTTTTTGGCTTAAAATGTTGATGGTGTATTCTACCCTTGGGCATTAAGTTTAGATATAAAGGGGATGCAGAATAATCAATAGCTTAATGAAGTACACTTCGTATGAGGGTAACTACGTAATAAGTCATGAGATTCCCCCTCTCAGTGATACCCCAGTAGGGGTGGTTAGAGAGTACTCAAGAAGAAGATTCTGTGGAACTGAAATATGTTACCAAATATGAATTCTGAGAGACTGATATAATGTTTTAAGCAGTTTGAGCATGTTCAGCACACTGTCTTCAGGTAAAAAAATGGAACACAAACAAAGTGAAATATGCATGTGTATTAATAAAATGATTTCTGTAATTTTCCTCAGTTCAGTACACTGAAAGAGTTTATCATCACGATGCCCGTTTTCTTTTTTACCCATAATATGCGTTTGCTGCATATACACTTGATGTGCAATATTAGCAAATGTAGCAGTTATCTTCCGTAAAGTATATATCTTTTAACATCAGAAAATGTGTATGTGCATGTTTCTGTACACATTTTACTTCAAATGATTTATGAATAGGAAGGTTTTGGCACTGTCAGTACTAATGGTATATCAAGAAACATACAAACTAAACAATTTAGCTAGAGAAATATTTAGATAGATGTACTTTGTGTACATTTTGATTGTAAATATTGATGTACAGAGGTGGGCTGCTAAGGAATAAACCATGAATGCAGTATGTGTGAAGTGTTTCCTTATACTGATACTTCACCCTCCTACATGCTACCTAACACTATAATCAATACAAATATGGAGCAAAATGGCTACTTCAGCAGGCTGAAGGTTAGATTTCTAAATGTGTTGTAGCTAGCAATTACATTGCTCCACAGATCTTGACATGCATTATTTACAACCCATTCTGTCAAGCATGCATTTCATGATCTTAAATATAATTTTTACAATATCTACATGTACTGGCTCATTAAAATAGTGTCTTGTGAAGGTTTTCCAGGAACTGCAAGTATCGTGGCTCTGAAAGAATTGAAGGGAAGATTCAGTCACAGTTACATGGAAAGATGCATGAAAAGAATCTAAAAGTTCATGGTGCCAAGGAGTTGTAGAAACCCCTTGATGGTACCTTGCTAGTAAGCACATTCAAAGTTGTATGAAAAAAAGGCTATGGCTACCTCAGCAGTGAGATGTTTAAATGGAATAACTAGTCTAGACAGCATCCCACGTACACTTCAAAGATATACTCCAGTAGAAAGTCAATACCACTTTATCTTTCAGTGTGGCAACAGAGGCCCACAGGGCCTGCAGTTAGTACACTAATCAATGCTCAGGGTTCATCATTGCTTTTTACCCCTATACAGAAACAGGCTGGAGCCAGCCTGAATTTTTTTCTGTCATCTCAAGTTTGTTTGATGTAACACCATGTCGATCGCCAAAGGTCAATCTGAGGGGTCCTGTTTTTTGGGGGTGTTCTGGGTTAATCTTTCACAGTCAAACCTATACAAGTGACCACCTCTACGTGTACATAAGGACCACTTGGCCATTGTGGTCACTTAAAAAATTTTCCCATTGAAATTCTGTCTATATAGTGGCAACCTGTCCACAGATAGACCAGATTTTATCATTCCCAAGTGGTCTTCTTCTGCAGTTTTGACTCTATTTCCAATGGCTATAACTAAGTAAACACAAGTTCATGGTGTTCATAAGAAGTAGAGAAACACCTTGGTCTGGATGAATATGTCCATGTCTTATCAAAAAGTCCAGCACAACCATGGCACAGTTGGGTTTGAAGTCTGGCTGGGCTATCTGCTCTTTCACCTGGAGAACAAACAAAACAATTGTCAAGTTTATAGTTGCTTAATAGAAATTGTATTCTTAAAAAAAACACATTTATTCCAGAATCTCCAAAGAAAGGAATCCTTTCTATGGTCTGTCATCCTTACACTTAAAGGTTTGACCAATCATCAATTCAGACTCAAAGGTCACATAATTGTAACTCATGGTGCAAGTAGTACAAGACCTCAACATCCATAAACATACAAGACAGTACTTAAATGTTCAAATAAAAAGAAATGATTATCATGACATCTTTGTAGCCATACAATGTAGTTTGTACTACTAGTATTCCCATTCACATTGTATGTTTGACAGTTTTTTGTGCACTCTAACGTTATAGCTACTGCTGAATTTGTTCACAATCCTCACATCTCTGCATCTGCTTGGAGATCAGTAGTGCAGGAGTCATTCGTGATACTAATTTGAAATTAAAGCTCACTACGTCAAAACAAAGACTTGATTATCCCAAGCTTAAGAATGAGACAAGAAGATGAAGTTTTTTTTTTCAATATCTTTTAAATCTAAGCAGCTTAATCAAATCTTCTATTGCATTGATCTGATACAACCAAATAATCCAAGTAGTCATCCAAAGAATAGATGAGGCTTTAACACTAAAGCCCTTCAGATTGCAGTCACCTTAAAGTACCTCAAAGTACAAGTTTGAAAGTACAAGCAATAATGAAAATCCCTCACGTTCGACCTTCCTGTTGCTAATACTCAGACTAGGAGAGATAAAATGATGCATGTTTTCGACGTATAAGTGAAGACCTTTTGCATATTGATCTTGGAGAGAGGTGCTTGTCAGGATGAGTTTGTAATGTATGGTTACAGCTACATTTACTTCTGTTACATATTACATCAAATACATGTACCTTTACAACATATGTACGAAGTAGGACTATGCAGATTTTGGCTTACATTGTATGTTTAGGAATCTAATGTTCAACAACATCAGAGGACGGGCCTGTAAATTATGGTAGAGAGCAGAATAAGTCGACCTTGAAGGTGACATTCACCAGGGCCCCTCCTGGCCGAGTAGATAAAACACCCATCAAATTAACTTAACCATGCACTCTGAGTTCTCACCAGCATAGCCGGCTGTAGCTAAATCATTTAGAGCTACAGGCGCAGACCAATTACATGTACATCTGTGAAGAAGAGACAGGGGTGACAGCTCTCAAGTTCTGCGGGGGGATAGTGTGGTCTTTGGTGGGATTTACTGTAGATTTTGAAACTTTCACCACTGTTTTATTTTTGAGGTAACCTCTACTCTCCACCGTAAGTTTATGTCAACATATTCATATGTGTAAATTGTATGTATGTATTTATGTCATGTATTTATGTATGTATGTTACATATATACATACATTCTTTCTATGACTAGTATTTAACTGCAAATGTAAAACATCACTCTGAACTGGCCATTGCTATTAATCTAATTAAAACAAAATATGATTTCACTCTGCATTAGATGGGTAAAAATGGTTGCTCAAACTAAAAGTTTGGAAATGGGAAGTCAGTTATTTTCTAAAAGCTGTTATTGGGTGGGCCAACTACTCTCTTTGCAGCCAGCAGGAGCTAAATTGTGAAGAGCTTACAGTTGCTGGGGCTGAACTGCAAGGATCTGGAGCAGCTGCCATCCGGCGCTAACTCATCAGGTGACCTCAATATGATAGTAAGTGCCCCAAGGGCAGCCATAGGACTATGAGGTGAGAAGTGAATTAAGAAGAGAATATTTCAAAAAGTTCCGTGGCTCAGATGTTTTAAACAGGTAGGAATGAGAACCCTTCATGCCCCTGATGAACATTATAGAAAATAGGTCTGACTAATGTGTTGAATGAGTATCATTAGGTATCGTGTAGGTTAATCGAATGCAATCAATTTCTTACGCTGCAGAATCAAACCCCCTAGGCCTCCTCTTGTTACCACCCTAATCTCTTTTCCCGTCAGAAGAACGATGATCATCACTTGTACTGGATGTAACTAAGACAGCTTAACTCTGGGCTCGAAATACACAGTCACCTGTATCCTCCAAAATTTGCTTTAGAAAACTTTGTTGCTTGAGTGAATTTCTTGTTTTATTCATTATTGTGAGTTTCTGCACTTTCCCACGGCTCTGATAAGGCAACAGACATGCATGTTAAGCTGCAGGATATTCAAGACAGGAAATGAGACAACCTTTTCTGGGACCTTTGACCTAGCATCCTGTTAATGTCAGTAATGCCTGGCATGTAGTCAGCATATCTAAATTGTATGGGTGGTGAGATCTTCATAGTATAGGTTAAAGGTAAAGGTAGTCCCACAGCCTTTTGAGGCCATAGGAGCAGTGGGCTGTTAATCTACTGTGCATGTGTCTAGGGGATGGTACTGGTGGAAAGTGGAGTCCATCCCCCTCCTTCCACTGCCCCAACCAAAGTCATGCACCCATTATTTTACACCTGGGTGGAGAGAGGAAAGTCATGCCTTTCTAAAGAAAACGGTAACTAGCCAGGAATGCAAGAATCGAACCAGTGACCTCTTGATCTTGTGTCCGCTCACCTTAGCCACTCTTCCATTCACCGCCACAAGATCTCCATGCATGTATGCAATAGATAAGTTGCAGGATTCTAATACTTTATCCTATTTCACCTCCCTGAATGTCCATCATACATTTCAATGGTTTGAAAAATAGATACCTTGTCCATGTCCCAGAGATAGAACTCGCTCACTTCCCCATCAGTGTTGACTGGCTGGAAGTCCAGGGGTAACTTCAGGTCAAACACAAACTGTATCTCAGGAAACAGGCCTCTCTCATCCTCATAGAAATAACTGCAGGGGAGGGAGAGAAACAAAAACATTTTTTGAAGGCCAACAGAAGGAAACAAAACATGTTTCTAACTAAACTGTTGATACCATATTTGTTAACGCATACAATGTACCTGTTTTCAAATGCATAGCAAATTATCCTCCTACCCTATCCTATAAATACTGAGCAAGGCCCTCTACAGGGCATCATGCCCAACTATGTCTGATCACTCTGGTGCAGGTAATTTTCAATGTTACCTGCATCAGTGCAGGTATGCAGAAAACAGGATTTCAAGCCCTACCTCATATAATATAGTGGAGGCACTGAACATCATAAATTTCTGTGTCTTCAGTCCTCCATAAATGACTTACAGTTGGAAAGTTCTTTGTATCTGGGAAGATCTAAGTGGTACAGGGACAAGAGACACAAAGTCTACAAACCACAACTAAGCCTTGAACTGTGACATACTCCATGAAAACAATTTTACACTGATCTTTCAACTGATGTAGCATGTGCAATACAAAGGTTATCAGTGATCCTGCCTCTGGATAAAGAGGTCGGGAGTTCAAATCCCAGTTGTCATCCCTCACCCGATATGCATGCTACTAGGGTATCGTTGAAGTTTTTAGGATGGGGACCCTCGTCCACTGCTTATGGTACTGTTTATAAGAAGTTAATTGCAAATTCATGCCCGGATGGTAATTGCAAATTACAAACATAAAAGAACATTGAAACAGAGTATAAGATAACTAAAGTCTACATGATAAAAGGTAGTTGTCTAAAGCTATAGCTATGTCTAAAACTATGTCTAAGGGGGTTTGACTTCTCTTTTTTAGACCATGGAAGACTTACAATACAATACAATACCTAATGAACCGTATTACTATGAACCTGTGTATATGTACTGTATTTATTGTCTTGTGATGGCCAGTAGAAGTTTAGTTCTTCGGTGAGCTAAACTGGTTTGAGATCACTTTCACTTTCCTGTAATACCTGTGAGGTCAACTCATAGAGTACCACCAGTGGAAGATGATTGATACTCCTCAGAAAGAATGACCTGGATATGGTGTCCTACTTTTGGTGGAAAATGTCAGCCATCACTCCATCAGCAGCCTTTACTGACCATCTGTCCACTGCTCTATAGTTTATGGCTTTATTAAGTTAAAAGGCTGTTAACTTAGCTCCACCATAACTGGACATGTAAGACAATAACTCATCAATCTGAGGTCTGTTGTGTTTAAGACCCTAAAGTGGACAGTATTACTTTAGTGTCCATTTCAGGTTAAGAACCTACATACTGAGATGACTGTGGTCATTAAGAGCGAGGACATTATTGTTAAGAGGGTTCTTATTTCCAGACAGCCTATTAGGGGAATCATCTGGACAGGATGGAGTCCAGGAGGACACAATTACGGTCGTTATATGAAAGGTTTGACCCAAATTTTGGATTCCACAGACCTTCCATTATTGACAAAAAAAGCTTGAGCAGAAATCAAATTGAACTGTTGGTTTGTTCTTAATATACATACATTGTATTGACAAAAAGTGCTGTACATGTACATGCCCTACTGCAGTTATTTGATCAGCACCAAGGACAGAGACATTATAGTAAATAAACCAAAACCCAATAAAGGAGCTTTAACCACAGTGCTGTTAAATACTTCTACTGATGGCATCTAAGATGGTATCATCTAATAGTATACATAGATACTATCTAGCACTGATGCTGTGAAACACTACTCTCTGAGCAGAGGTTTAGGTTTCAGTCTATTTTTGACATGTTTTAGGCATTTTGGCCAGGCTTTCTTTTTTGTACTGGAATACTTTTTTATATAAATGTATTGGATATTGCCCTGCTAATGATACTGTCTTGCCAATTTCATACATGTTTTGCAGCCACCAAAAGATCTGCATAGAGATTAGTGGAATACCACTTAAGGTAGTCCCAAGGTTGAGTGGGCATGTGCAATTATGGTATACATGTCATCATCTATGTTTGTCATCACTGAGCTTCCTCAACAAGTGTGTAACACTGGAGAATGAATACGCTTCATATTCTGTGCAATGTTCCAGTGACGATGTTTCCTGTAGCAGAATATTACAAATGTTATATTGGAAAACTATCACTGTCAAAGGCATCGCTGTCATGATATCGTAAAGTTTCTCTGGTTGAAAATGTTAAATTTTGCCACGAGTAGAATCAATATCTACTTATAAGTCAGATATCATTTCAGACATATCATATGTAAGCCATTAGAATCTCAGGAAGTCAATATTCTCATGTTGGCTTCAGGATATTCTAATCAGGATGTCATGAATTTTGACAAGGCAACCTTAGTCGGGCTTTGGTTGAATATCGTTGAAAATTGGAAGTGATGGCTTCAAGGCACAAATGGATTCTTCAACTGTCTACATTGTCATTGCAAATCATGGGTTTTCTTGTTCACGCAATGCCTAACCTTCATTTCACCTTCAAAGTAAATTGTATAAATGTATGTGTATTATATAACTTGCATGCAGTTTCAAAGTACAAAATCTATCTACTGTGAATTTGAAGCTTGACATTTAGATTCTCTCTTAAAATGTTCTTTATGAGCTAAATGAATTTGACTTTAGCCTTTGAGGCTTAAATACAGTATATTGGCACCAAATTTTATATTTGGCTATGCATGGGATTAGACAGGGGACAAAAATTATTTTCTGACCCTTACACCACCTAAAGAAGTATTTAAATTTGTGTCCCAATTCTATAAACATCTCTACTGAAGTGGTTTCAGCTTTTGTCTCTTCTACCCAAAATAATCAAGTTTCAAGGACTTGAAATCCTACAAAGCAACCTGCAATCAGCATTGTGAATTTGTGACCCAGTTTGGCTGTAACTCATTTACAGAGGGTTTATACATGAAGTAAATGAACTGTTTGATCCATTGTTTACTAAAATCTTCCTGTTTCTGCAATGATAATTAGTAATAATGAAGTGATTAGTCCATCTTAATCATTCTTCCAGATACGTAATCCCCCACAGACCCAGAAAACAATATCTTAACAACCATAATCAAATTGCATTTTTCTGAGGAAAAATTCCTTTTGACACATTGACTATTAAAATTTCAACTCAAGCCAAAAGTGATGTAGCCACCTTATGGTGGCAAATGTACATGGGTGTCTCATGACTTCTGACCTCTTCATGGCCTCTGACCTGGCCCTTATGCATTAATCTCTTTGGTTATCAAATATTCTTTAGGAACAGTGTAACTGGGTCCAAAAGTTCCATGCCTGTTCGAACTCCATTACCATGTGACATGTGTTACTTTAACATTCGTATGTGCACAACAGGTTCTATCAGAGAATCAGCACCAAGGACAGATGCCATGGCTATATAACAGTTGTTGTTATGTATATTCTTTTGCGTTCTCCTCAAATTGCTGTTACTCACTATGTTTTATTTTTCACAGTGGATCATGCAACACAGGCCAAGCCAATTAGAGCTCTCAGGAGTAGTTTACACATACAATTATACATGTATTTTCAAGTAGCAATTATTTTTCAATCAGTATGTGCAGGAAAGCAATCAGTAGAGCATCCTGGAGCTAGCATAGTAGTGCAGGCTAGTACTGGCTTCAATCTAGTCACCTCCTGATTTATTCATCAAATACATGTATTCTGGAGGGAAATGCTGGAGGGACGTTCACCCTAAATCCCTTTAACAGTGGATAACCATGTTTACTCTTCTCATGTCGACCACAGGACATCAGAGAGTTTGGCCCCGGTCCCGGAGGTGGATTGGATTATCTCATTCAGGCATGTTTTCAGAACAGATTGATGTCCAAGGCTGATATCTCAGTAACATTATTGACTAAACACATATCCATGAAGAATGGAGAGGGGCACTAAAGGGAAGGGCATTGTATAATATTACATGTAGTATGATATCTAATATCATAATGAAATCAGATACATGGGATAATATTAACATATATCTTTGCATAAGAAGGGACTTGTTGGTCAAGGATAAGAGTGGTGAGGGTGAAAATTGAAAAGAGTAGGGGTCCTTCCTGGTGTGCGTGTGTGTGTGTGAGTTACATTTCAGTCTTACACAGCTTGCACTTTCTAATAGTTAATAATAAAGGTACTTCACGAGACTGGTGTGTTATGCTAAGTTTACTGGTTATGCAAAATAAACAAAAATGTGGTGGAGATTTCTGTCATTCTAACCTTTTTTCTGTCAAGTTTTCTGTGCAAATAATAGTAAGACCAATATTGACATCATTTTGTGTTCTTGCTACATGTGTTTAAGTATGTATAATGTTCATAGATTTCCCAAGGGATTTCCATGTACAGTATCAACAGTTGCAAGAAAGGCCTTCAACACCACACTTGAAATGAGAAGTAGCCCGTTGACCTAGTTTTGATATTGATGTTTTGAACCTTTCATGTGCCCTCAACCTCACACAATGTATCTAAACGTGACAAGAATGACATTTTTCATCAATTTTGCACGATATGGTAGAAACTTCTGTTATGTACAAAATGTACCTTACCCTTCTACATGTAGCATGTCCAATTCAACCATTCCAATCCTTTTATCCACAATCCACAAAAATGCGTCCAATTTTGTCACATTGACCTAAGTGGTTAAAATCCTGGCCTGATTCTAAAGTCAAGTAAAGAGAATGGATAGAAATCCAATGCACCGTAGATTCAATCCAGTTTGAGCTTTGTACAATAATACAACCAATCCACCTCTGCTTACTGTAAATTCATTAAGTAAGTTTTCATTTGAAGTTTGCGGGGACTTTGTTTTGCAGTACTGGGGAAAGGAGCCATTTGTGTCTTTTTGTAATGTTTTCATTGAAGGGGAGGGCATGTGGAAGTTAGACATGCTTAGCCTAGCAATTTGACAATACAGTAGTCAGGAGAGGTCACCGCAAAAAATATTCTACCATGTGCGGTATCTACATTTGAATCACCCTCTCCACCTATCCAGGAGGTGCCTGTATAAGTCTGGCTCAGGTGCGACGGTGTGAAAATGTAATCATTCTCATCACCTTGACTTCTCATTGCCCTCTGCCTATATTGATCCTAGCCTGTGGCCCCATCATAGGAGCTATTACTACCCCTGCCTACAGCCAGAATTAGAACAAACTGTCCAATTTGCCAGGCTAAGGAGGAGAATACCACCTCTTGTACATGATAAGTTAATGAAACAACTACACAACAATGTCAAACAGGTTATCTTGAAGCTATAATTTTGTAGAAGCTAATTTAAAGGTGCTAAAATCAAAAACAAATTCTAGTAAGAGCAAATAGTTTCACTTTTTCCCCACATATCAACATCATGATTTTCCTTGTAGTTGATGAGCTTTTGATATTGATAAATTCTGCATGAAAGGTCATCTTTGTTTGCAGATGAGGTCGGTAAGATCAAACATTTAATCAAACAATTGACAGTATGTTGTTGTGCAATGACTCACAAAAAAGAATTCCAGAAGATCTTCAGTCAATTTTCGTCATTTTGTATACTGACACTCTTTCTGACCTTTCAGAAACTTAACGGCATCTTTTAAAAACATCTTTGCTTAGACCTGTCCTCACAAGACTTCTGTAACTTCCTTTCAGCATCAAAGCTGACTTCAGAAAAAGGAGACAAGCTGTAACCTCCTACATAACAAATTGCATCTAATTGATCATGATATGCTCCTCTCCCCGTCCACGTAATGTTTCCTGAACATGAAATTGGATTACCCACCATTCATCCCCATAAACCCAGGTGGGGTAGACCTGCCTAGCAATTCTGCAGCCCGACCTTCCCCTGACCCAGCGCTCGTTTAGACCCGGCATTGACGGAGTACCTCTTTTTGTTTCAAGGACAGAGGTATGATAGCAGCGGACCTGGTACTGCCTTACACACCTCCTCATCACCAGGACACAGCTGTACCAGCCTGCCATAATGAACACACTCATTTCCTAACACCGTCATCAATTCTCCAGGAACTCGAGTTTGTTGCCGAGGTCTGCCCAGTACAGTATTACTGCAGGAAGACTTCAATTTGAAGATTAATGATGGCGTGTTATATGGGATTTTGGGATCAAATAGCAATTATGTACAAGTTGGGGGTGGGATAGTGCACTTGGGATATAAGTGGTCCAAATTAAAGAACTTGTAACAAATTGAGATCCAAAATAATGAAAAAATTGTACTATTGACAGCAGTTGCATATACTGTAATTTGCTAACCACAAATGTAATACCGTAAAAGCTACCTTTCCTGAACAATTAATTCAATGATATTTATGACGTAATCTATAAAACTTCCTCCCCACTATGAATGAGCTCATCCAACCTATCCCCAAACAATGACTGAAATGCCTAAAAATGACGAAAAGCAGAGTAAAGGAAGTAGATATAATCTTGACTATAAAAGCCTGGAACAGATTGACTGACTGTGCAAAACATACTCTAGATTTAGAGATATACAGAAGAAAGAAATACACACTGCACCTATCTCCTATCCGCTGCTCTAGGCTACAGAATATGCAACTTCTTCCCAATATCTCTGGTGTTTGGTAAAAAGGACAGCTTACTGCAGAATTACATGTAACATTGTAAGTATGGCTATTGAGGGTGAAACCAGCAGAGTGTGTTGAGGTTAGATAACTCCTGTCAGGCAATATGCTGTGTTTCATATTGGACAAGGCTGTTAAAGGGAGGTACAGTACATAATATGTAATCATTCAGCCAGAATTACAATAAAGCAGCATGCAGCTATGATAGTATTATTACTTTGAAACTTCAAACAAGGTATCTTATAAAGTCTTGTTTTATAAGTTGTTTAAATCTTATTTATTTGTAAAAGAGATCTTGGTAATTTATGATAATTTCATACTCTACAAACTACCCTAAACTATAACTGTAACATTGTAAGAACACTCCAGCAAGGATACTAAATGAAAAAGATTTATTGAGAAGAAACTTAAGCTGTAAATTCAGGGGTTAAAATACCCGGTCTCGCAGTCTCGCCGCGCAAGTAATTTTTTCTGTGCGAGACTTATTCGGAAAGCCAGGTTGCCCGGGGCGCAAGTTATTTTTACAGCGGCTGGGTTTACGGCCACTCAGCTTCTGAAATAAATAGTGCCGCGGTCCCGCCTGATTGACATGTGGACCGGTTCGGACCGTAAAAATTTATCGGTCCGGTCCGAAAAAAACGAAACGTCGGTGGACTGTTTTTTTGGACCGGAACAAAAATCCATACTAACTGATGATCACTAGATACAAGGAAGCCAGCCAGGAAAATGAAAATCCAGCATTAAAATAAAAGAAATTTACCTTAGTTTCCGTACCTCTCATTTTGCAACAATATTCTCCATATTTTCGTTACCGATAGTCATCTAGAAATCATAAAGGGAACTTTACAGGCCGCGTTTGGTTCGAGCCGAAAATCAGTGATTTTAGACCACATGGTCACACTGTGCCGCTACAGCCACACATAAATTTTCACTCGAAATGAGAAATTAGCACCCAACAAAACGGACCATTAGTTTCCCAAGGCTGTATTACTCTTTTGTTCTTGTGGTCAACTTGTTTTCTTTGCTTGAATTGCGTAAAATACCAAGGAAAATACAAGGAAACTTCGGCAATCGGCTCGAATTTTGAGACGAGCGGCGGCCATCTTGGAATTTGTTGTTTATGCATGCCTGCAATTTGGCCCAAACTGCTAGAGGGCGATGTGATTGGTTGGGAAGTTTAATGTATTAATATATTCGGTTCTGAGGTTTTAGCCATAGAGGACAGTAGAGGAGAAGTTTGATAATGATTAGAACGGATAAAATGGGATAAAATAAAATTAAAAGAGGATAAATAAAATAAAATTAAATCTAAAAAAATAAAAATAAAATCTAAAAAAATTTTAAAAATAAATAAAAAAATTTGTATTGGTTGCTATACATTTAATATTTAGCAATGATCATTTAGCAAAAATTATTTGGTACTGATAGTCTGGTATCCAGAATCAGGTACAGGTACAGGTACAGGTCCGGACCTGGACTCTGGACCTGGACCTGAAAGAGCGGAACAGGTACCCACCCATATGAAGGCAACATTTTTTAATAAACAATTGATGATGTTTGACAGCTGTTGTGTTTGCTACTTGATAAACAAACCTATTAATTGATAAAAAGAAAGGATAATGGATATGGGGTAGCAGATTTGAAGAATCCAGATCCTTTGAAATGGGGCAACCTGAAATCCTGATGGGGCAACCTGGCTTTTGACCCAGGTTGCCGCCCGGGCAACCTGGAAAAAAAAAGTATTTTAACCCCTGAAATTGTAATAGATATTGTTTATGGCTCATTAGGCCACACCTATTTAATTTCTTGGTTAACAGATTTTTCTAGAAAAATAATGGAGCGGGCGGGCGAAAAAAAAATAAAAATAAAAACAAGCCTAGGCATCCTATTATGGCCCAAAATGGTACGATAGGAGCCATGAAGTCAACACACCAGGCCGGTTCAAAATTTAAACAATGAATTTTGAACTTTTAATGATACCACTGCATTGGACAATGGAATAACTGTTACAATTAGGAAGAAAAGGACTATTTTTAACTGTTCAGGGCAAAATATGAGCATTTTGCAGTTGATTCTGAATTTTTATTTTTATTTTCAAATTAGAAAAAAATGAAGCGGGCGAATCCGTTAACCAAGAAATTAAATTGGTGTGGCCTTATTGCATTATACAAGGTTGAATGGTACTGGGAACACAGATCTACAATTGTATGTACCGGTCTTTTGACATTCTACAACATTGCAGTTCTACCACAGGCACAAAACACCACACTCATACTTTGGCATTGACTTGTAGTCAAGGTCAAAGTCAAAGTCATCAATGTACTGACTGATACACTGTGCCTGTGGTATAAGCCAAAAGCCTATAAGCCTTTTAGGAACTGTTTTAGGTGAAAGAAATTGGCCAGATGAGAAAATGAAGCATCCAGCAGGGCCTAACCATATAATGTACAAGCAACCAATCACAATGTCATGCTTGCACAAATACAAATGCATCATACACATTTACAATTAACTACTGAGCAATGCTCATGCATAAAGGCTTGCAAATTGCAATCAACAGCATGACAGTTAATACCAGTAACTCTCTCCAGATAGCTTGTCACTAATGAAGCAACAGTATCATTGTTACTTTTTACATAAATCTGGCAGTATAAGTGTAGGACTACAAGATTCATGAATTGTACACTTGCATACTGTGTCAATCTACTGAAAAACTCATAAAAATCCAGTAAAACGCACTCGTGTCAACTGATATACTGCATGAAATAGTCTTGTATTAGAATACACGTAATAATACCATTTCAATGAACACAAATACGTCATTGTCTGAATATTAAATAAATGTATAATTAAAGAATGAAATTTGAACTACTGTTACAGTACCTGTTTGTAATAATATTATATTGAAATTTTAGATGTACATGTAGCTATATTTTGCATAAGTGGCACGTCGGCAGAACATACTGCACCTTCGCAAAACCCGTAATGTATTGTGCATAGCACTTTGGCAGACGTCTCATATAATAAGGTCAAATTTGCACATATAAGGTTAACATCCCATCTGTAGTTTCCAAATGTTAAGTCAGAAAATATGTTGTCTGCAACAGGCAAAATTATGATGTAATGTTGACCAAAAATTGTACGAAAACCGTGAAAAAATCTGGGTTTTGAGCAGGCCCAGTTCGTTTTGCCAACGTGCTTCTATAAGTTTATTCTGACTGACCTGATGGCCCCTGCAGGCTGTGCTGTAAGGGCGATGTCCTGGGGGATGTTGGCCTCCTCTGCACATTCTTTCACCAACACCTCCTGTGCAGTCAGCCCTGCTGTAAAACCACCTGCAGTCTGAGGTAAAAAACAGGGTCTGTCCAGTAAAGGCACAGTCAGTGTCGTAAAATTTACCTGTCAGGTCATGGGAATACAGTTGAAGATCTACAACAACCTTTATTATTACCTACATCAGCTACATATAGCAACGAGAAGCAGTACAGCAATGAGCTCTGAGGAAGACGTCTGACTGGCATCAAAACATAAGCAGGTCTTGCAAAAAAAGAAAGCCCCAATATCTTATGTTTTACCGACCAGACTAAATTATTTTCAAACAAAACAAAACAAAAAAAACAAAACAAAACAAAACCTTTTCTGTCACAGAACAGCTGAATTTGTATGACATTCCCTGGATGTCTAACCTTCATCGACGCAACTGTAGAGCAGTCGATCAATCAAAGTCCTGAGTCCAATTCCTAACTTGATGTGTAACAACTGACCTTGTCTCCATCAAGGGATGTCTTTTTCATATGAAAAAATTCAGTTCTACGTATACTAACTGCCATGTTAAATAGCTACTTACTGTTAGAACAAAAGATTAAACAGGTGTAGCCTCACCACTTGGTCCAGTTTGCCAGGGTAAGTAGACTTGTTCTTTGCCCTCCTGCCTATCCACATGAGTGGACCCTTCTGAGGATGCTCCACATAGCCGTTCACATGGACACCATACTGTTTCACTCCTAACAGAGCTATAGATATATAAAATATACAGCAGTGTTCAGTTTTTGCCCAGGATCTTCTTCTTCTCCAAATTAATAAGGTCAATGACCACCTGGAGCAGGCAAGCCACCATGGTAGCTGGTGTTGTAGCAGACACCCTGATAACATTATGTAGCAAGTGGTAGGACATAGTTGGAGGGGCTGGTCACCATATTATATGAATAAATGTGTTTGATTAAAGAATTCTGTACTTCCCCATGTGAAGGTAAACGTAATACTATGCATTTTCTTTGCAGTATCCTTTCTGCAGTATATAGTAGGTTCTAAAATTTGAAAGATAAATCCAAACTGTAAAGTCAACATAGAGTCTGAGGAGGTCTCACCAGTGGCAGTTCTCTCCATCCTAAAAACTGGGGGACTGCTTCTCTGGTGAAAAACCTCATACATCTATAGAGTAAACAAAACAACATAAAAACAATAAATTTTTGTCACAGACAAGAATACAAGGGCATTACAAATTATGCACATGATATGAAATATTCCCACAACTATAACTCGTCTGTAACAACGCAACTATCAGAAATTCAACATGACACATTACAGAACCTTTCATATCGTCATGAACAAATTAATGAGGGCATCAATTTTTACACACTGTAGAAATTAAGTCTACAATTGTAAGTTTGTTTGTTTGTAAATGTTTCCCTTACCTCATCTCTCCAGCCCTTCAGTGCGATGAATTCCCCCTCCTCCCTCAGCTTCACCATAACCTCCTGTACTCTGGCTGTTCTCTCTTCATACATCTGCAGGCTGGGGCACAAGGACACCTACATTCAGAAACAATACCAACTGCAGTGACTTACACAAACTTTTTAATGGTGTAATTCAAGTTATGTATATCACTTTATCAGTTTATGTAATAGTTTTTTATTCTTTTTTTTTTGCATGGTCTGCCTCAATAGGAAATTCAAAATGTTAAATCCAGCCCCATGCAGGATTTTTTTTTTCATTTTATTGGCTATTTAATATGAACAGCCAGGACAGATCAACTAGTCTGTGGCTATTGCAAGGGGCTAATACTGCACACAAGACATTGCAATGGAGTTGGACATGGACAACATAACAGTCTATCATGTACTTTGCAGGATCTAGATGTTAATAGAAGCAATTTTTTATTCCGTTGCAGTCTATGTTCTTACCTGTTTGTCTTCCACCATGAAGACATCAGGGAATCTCTGGATGTGTTTCTCCACACCTGGCCAGACCCAGCCCACCTGCTGGTCACCAACCATAAAGGGCTTACACATGGCACGTGAGGAACCTGTCAGGTGCACATGTATGAACGGGTGAGGTACACAACAGGTATGGACAGGTGAGGAACCTGTCAGGTGTACAAGTATGAACAGGTGGGGTACACAACAGGCATGAACAGGTGAGGAACCTGTCAGGTGCATATGTATGAACAGGTGAAGTACACAACAGGTGTGGACAGGTGAGAAGCCTGTCAGGTGTAGTTTTTGTCATTCTTGTGACTCTAACAGGTGGCAATATAAGTTCACACAACAGCGCTTCCTTTTATATATTCACTAAGGAATTCTAGGCCTAGTTGTAAACAATGCATTGTACGTAATTAATGCTCAATGAATGTTTGTCGATTATAGTGTTTCTGATAAGGCATTTAATTTTGTCCCTGGCTCTCTTTTGTGCTTATACTCGGCCATGCGCACAACATGCCCCAGAAGTAGTGTGCTAATAAAAGAATAATATAACATCAAACTCGTTACCGGTAACGACGCCCCCCTCCCCGCCCCCTAATGCAACATACGCACAATCACTATTGACATGGTTCTGCATGATCAAAACACGTCAACACGTCCCTGACAGCATGTGAAATGACCATGAATCATCGACAAGGTTATAAATCGCTCACCAGGCTGAAAAAAGTTGTTGCAACGTCCGACAAGTTTGGAAAGCATGAGTTCCGACCAAGAGGCAGCCATCTTGAATAAATAGCAGCATGTTCGAAACCACAGATTCGTACCTTCAAAACTCTGCTAAGTTTCGACCCAGATCGCTGATACGTTCTATAAAATTCTCGTTTGAGCGAATTTCATGTCCTTGATTTAATCATTCTCTCCAACATTCTTAATGTATAGTAACTCAACGCAGGTTAGTTCCGAGGACAGAGAAATCGTCGTGTTAACACGTGGTTAATGGCAATTCAGCACCAAGGACAGGGGCAGTTTAAAGATGTGCCTGCGAGAACAGAAAGAAAACTTTCCACACATCTACCAGGACTGGATCTCAAGGATCCATTTTAATGCTTAAAATCCGGGGATTCTTGGAAACAAGGAAGTTCTGGGGTTAAAAGCTAACTGAGTAGCGTAATATCAGAATTTTACTAGCATCTAAATGTTGACTTATCTGACGCACAAGATGGTACCTAGAGCCATGATACATGTATGTAGGATATGGACGAAATTCTCTTCTTACGTACAAATAGCTTGGCACTCTCATCAAAAATAAACATTCTGCATTGCAGATGCAAGTAAGATACCGGACATTGTGGTCATATAATTGTGGTCAATCTGTTTGCCCCGCTAGCTATCCTGACACACGCTATGGGAATTTAAGTTTCCTGAGCGCACATCTGACATATTGGTTTAATACCCTGGACACCTATGTCAATAATCATTCACATAGCGCTCAGAATCCATTCTGACAGGACGATTGATTGAATGTAAAGTGTTTACATGCCGCATTAGAAGGTCGTGTTTACATTTGTGTGTCAGATAATGTTTAATACTAGCTCTACAAGCATGCAGAGGATTAGGCATTGAATCGGCTTTTTTTCTTAGGCATTTGATAGGGCTTTCTTTTTTATACTAGTATCTTTTATACTAGGTCACCCCTGGGAGAGCTGTGATTTCCTAATTGTAGTTCATTTGATCTGGTCGAGGGGTGACGCATCAATTACGTCATAGAATATGCCACAAGATGATTAGTATTGTAGGATGAAAATATTTTGACTATTATTGAAACAATAACATCTTCATTAATTTCCATCATACGCACAACACAGATACAATATGTCAAAACTCCTCAGCTTTACAATCTTGACTTGCACTTTCACGTAGACGCATTTCCACAACAGATCAGTTTTAATTAGAAACATCATTTACCTTCTGCATATTCATCAATTAATTTATAGATATTTAGCACGCAGGTCCCATCTGTCTGCGTTAATTAGCTTTGTTTGTTTGTAACATATAAATATTTGTCACAACAACAAGATACATTTATCTAAGTGTAGGATACCACTCCATATGCTTTAATCGTGTTCCTCAAGGATCATTTCCTGGCCTACTAATACAAATAACACGTTTTCATCCCCACCATCTAAAAGTAACTATACATGAAAACCAACATGTTGTCACTGTCATGACAAATTGTGCTCTCGGCGTCTTTTGATACATAATTTATTCACATTCACGCGATAACGGCAATGGCTATGGACGACAATTCAATTTTAGTCATTCGTAACTGTTTTGATGGATTATATGTTATATGTTGTTTTTCTTTTTTGTTTTGTTCCTTTCCTGTTTGTATTGTGTTTTATGGCTTTACCAAAAATCAGCATTAAGTCAACGCTACTTCCCTCTGTTAATAAAGAAAACAGAAATAAATAAAATAGATAAATACGACCCTGCAATAGAGTAAGAACAGCTATAGTCTCACGTTGTTTACGTAAGTGATCACTTTGACATTTAGCGTTCAGTTGGAGATCCAGGTCGGCGGTTGATGCAAATTACTTCCGAGCCGACAACGTCACTTTGACCTTCACGGTAATTACAGACCGACATTTGATACCCGCCAAATGTGCGCTATAGATAGGATATTTACAGTAAAACACTGTCACGTCATGCACTTAAACCTCCGCTTACAGGTATAGCATCCGTAAATAGAGCAAGATCAAATAGCGAATCGATCGGAATAAGAGAACACCACGGCACGCATTCAGCAGGATCTTAAGCTTTCTACGAGATCCTTGTAATAATCGAGATTATAAAAAGTAAGAAAATTATCCTGACGTAGTCATTCTCACGTACTTGTCCAGCGTGCTATTTCATCTGTTTATTACAGACTGTTATTCTAATAGACAAGGTTGTAATTTTAGGAACTGGTGTTTGAAACATTGTGTCCAAATTCCCCCACAGTAATGAATAATTGATTAGGTACAGCTTACCTCCTATCGACCGTGCGAGACCGACGTAATGTCTTTCATTTACACATCTAATTTCTGCCCTAGAGCCCACCTGGTCAGCCCAGAAGCAAGAAAACTATTCCGCCATCATTATATATGTCGTGGCAAATGTATTCGTAAGTGCTGATCAAAGAAACCATAATGAAATTGATATGTGCTCAAGCAATGTGCCGTCATGGTTTTAGTTCACTTAATGGGACAGAGAGGAAAAACAAAACGCAACTGTTGGAGGAAACTGTATAGGCGGGAGGAATATTGAAATTCTGGCATTCCCGGTAGGTTTGAAAGGGAATTCTATCGATTTGTTGGGAGGACAATGAGAGGATGTGCTCTACCAGATGGGTCGTGAAAGGCAAAATGAAATATTCATTCCGCGCACATGCGCACTAGCCGGCTTGGCGTCCCCTTCCCGCGTCTGTGAGGCATCTGACCGCCGCCCTTGGAAAAGGAACCGCCGAGGTGATTTTATTACCGAGTTTCACCAGGATCCATCAAAACTGTAAGTACCTTTCTCTGTACTCCTCCCACACGTGTAGGTAGGTTTTGTTTACGTGAAGCCTGAGGGAGGGGACGGTCAGGGTAACGGGGGGAGGGGCGGTACCCCGCCGCGGAACGCTTCACCTGTCCCGGCCAGTGCTACCGCGTGAGTCGGTACGTACAGTTAACCGTCATATAGCACACAGCAAGAGTAACGTTAAATATTCCATCAGCCATGCGAGGAGAATCGTAGCAAGAATCGCTGCGTGAAAACTCGTAAGGTTTACAAAATCGTCCGGGAGGTGAGATCGTATCCTATATAAAGGGGGGCTAGCTGGGTACGCCCGTGGTCTGTGTAACGGGCTTTTCATTATTCATTGAATATGCGTCCCATATAACCGGGTGATATACGTTAGCAGGTCCTCAGAATACAAGATTGCGGAAGCCATTCTAATCAGAATGTCTGTTGTGTATGCCGGTACGGTACGCATATATATGGGACTGCAAATGCTCTTGAGATTGTGTTTGTCATTGCGCGTACCTAGTGATTCAGGGTCACCTCGTTTCAGCGGGGAATCTTGTTAATGATAGGTGGCTGCTTCGCTCTGCGTGCAACGGAATGTAAATAAGGTCATGTAGGACAGAAAAAATTTAGCAAAATTTTTATCTAGATTCGTCGCTAGAAAATCCCATCCAATCCTTTCAAAGTCGGGAGAACCAAGGACAAACCTGTATATTCTGTGCATTTTAAGGCGAGGGAAAATTGAGAGCGGTCGTGTTGCAGGTAGAGTGGATTAATTTCCACTGCGGAGATTGGAATAGCGGAAACGCGTGGAAAATGGTTTGATGGATGAAGGGACGATCCCCTTTTCTAGGCCGGAGTAATTTGTATCATGGATGGATTATGTTTGTGATGGAGGCTAGTGGCTAACAGTAGATGATATCACATAAAAAGTTATACCGGAATGGAACTTCTAAAACCTCCGTGTTTAACTTGTTATCATCATTCTACCTAGCTATTTCTGTCACTTCTACATCTGATAGCAAACATAAAGGATTGAAGATGAAATTCAACTCGTCTCTAACCGATTGACGTCACTGTACTTTTTGACACAGCAGTTTCTCTTCGATTCCTGCTCTTGTCAGACGCTAATGGCTGCTGAGAAAGCGTGAAGTATACACGTACGTGACGATACGCCTGTCAGCTTTTATTATGATTTGTGTCTGAGCCTACTTGCGTTAGCGCATCTCCCTCACTTCCTTAATTATAAGAACGGATTTTGGTGAACATTCCACCGCAGCGCGCGCTGATCTGATCTTGGAGACGCGCCACGGACCTCCGAATCTCCCGCTGACAAATAGGAGGCTGCCATATAATTGAGGGAAGACCCTAAAAGCAAATGCCGTGCTTACCGAGTTGTGAAATGGCTGTAATGTGGTCCTGAGCTCCGCGCTACCAGATGGCTCGATCCTTCAGCAGGGAGGGGCGGGTCACTCGTATTTTACGGAAAAAAAATGAAAACGTCACCTTTTCTACGTCAGGGACAGAATGAGTTTATTACTCTCTGACGCCATTACCTAGTCGCCGATGCTTATTAAGCCCACTGGCATGGAATGTACAAATTAAATTTCTGAAGTTAAATCTGAATACCGCAGCTTGACGTTCAGAGGAACGTAGGGCGATGTCCTCACACGACCTCCATGTTCCGGAATCAGTGCAGACATTCCGCAGGCCTTCCACATCTCGGAGTGAGAAAAGTTTTTTCCCGCCTGCAGGCTAGCTGGACAGGGCGTGATTATCACCGATGTACCGCGCAGAGAGAGAGGCAAGACGGGAAAATTGAAAAGGAAATTTCAGATCGATACGATGTAAGTCTCTAGACTAAAGTCGCCTTGGGACGCGCGCTTAACGAAGGAATATATCCCTTTGTCTATCTAGTGCCTTCTGGAGATATCCCCTTCATACGACGACATGATTACTTGTCTCATTAGGCTGTGCCATTGTGTTGAATTGGACCGTTCATCACATTTGAATTGATTTCTTCGGTGGATCTTAAAGCGGCGCTGAATCGCGTTTATTCTATCGCAGTGACTTTTGAACTTTTAAAGCTGAACCTAATTCATTGCTACTTCCATTGTACTTTCAATCACACATTATGTTAATTCACGTATACCTGTACTTGCATTATATGTTAGATCTATATTTATAACATCAAATAGTGATGTTGATCTATCTCATTATCATGATCAAGTTGCTTAGCGTTCGAGCTAGCAATGTCACTCAACAGACCATATGTTGCACACACTAATTTAAAAAATAACAGACAGTCTGTCTCCAGATAGTAGTACCCTCAAACTAATTTTGAAATGTTACTACTAGAAACGAAACCATATTAATTTCGCATTATGATAACGCGATGTAGTATGGACTTAGACAATAGACGTCAGAAACGAACACTTCTCATATTCGAATCCAAATATTCTTTATGTAGAATGTATGCATAGCTTATGAAATACATCAATATGCTCGCCTAATAGGATTATAGGTTAAGCATATTAAGGGGGTTTAGCTTGACTGGGTCGGATGGAAACGGAGTAAATGGTTCTTCTAGAAAGAACGCCTCTAGGAGTGATTCCTGTTGTATTTCGCATTCCTGAAACGAAGCCGTTTACACTTGCGCCTCTAAAGACAACCCCTTTATGTAATCGGCGAAGATCTCTCAGATTCATCACCCAGCCCTCAGAGGAGCAGTGCGTACGACTGAGGACTGGATTGTTATTCACGTGATTCGTCATCTTTACAACTGTGCGCCCGGGAGGGTTCCGTCTACCGGGAGTTGGTGACACATCAGTCGGGTCAAACGACACGATAACAACGGAGTATGAGTCATTTCTGAGAGCGGCACGATCTGTAAGGGCGCGAGGAAAATATCTATCTATCTATGATCTATCTACGACACAGTTATGAAACAGATATGTATATGAACATACATTCAAGGCTATATGGATAGATAGATACATAGATAGTTTTCAAAAAAGATATAGATGAGAGTTGTTGACAGATTATTCGGGTCAAGCAACCCAGTAGAGCAACACATCTGATAGGCGCAGGATGCAAGGGCCGCAAGGAAATATTTGTCAACAACAGGGTAGAGTCTGATAGGATAACAAGGGCGCCATGGAAAATGTCTATCTATCTACGGTATGAGCGATAGATATATGTTCATACAAACATACATTCATACCTAGATAGATCCATAGGTGGGTAAAAAGATATTTTCACATTTTACAGGTTTCTGTGGGATGTTGGAAAATGGTAAAAATTGGCAAGAGGAGTTATCCGGCCATAGAATTGCAATTTTAACACATGGCGGACAAATCTGTACTAAATAATAAAAAAAAGATTAATGGATTATCTCTATGGATTATCCCCCTTTATTGCCAATTTCTAGATCAGTCCGCTAAGAGGTCCAGTAGAGACTATGTACGCAGATGTTTTTGAAGTGCTTCAATGATCCCACAGAAGCTAGCTGTAAACAGTGTGACACATGGGCAAGGTTGCCGTTACTGCCGTCAATAGCCTGTAGAGGGAGGGACTGGGAAGAATTACGGAGGTGCTAAGCACGTCTGAACCTCGTTGAATCGTGTGAAGAATTTTCATGCACAAATGTAAAGGATCACTGAGTTGTATTGTATTTGTAACTCCTTCCCATTCAGGTATCACTCATTACACTAATCACCTTTGCGAAGGAGGTCATCTTTTGTCCGCACTGTTTTGTAGCTTAAGAGTATTAATAGAATTGATTTTCATAACCAGATTCTGAATGGGTTTAAGCTTAAGAAAGAGGGGGTTGAAAAATGTCTTCTTCAGTGGGATAATGGGATAGGAGCAATTTGATTTTTTTCGTAGCTCATTAATGGTCCATTAAACTCGCTAGACCATGACAATAGGCATAACAGTAGATACGAGCTAGCAGTTTATTGTAACGTATCTTGAGGTAAAGCAGCCCTACATGTACGCTAACGTGGTCACAAAAGCGTATTGTAATCTTGATAAGAGCCGTGACTTCGCATACATGGAGCCCAATACAACACAAGTACTCTGCATGATGAAAGCACACTTAGAAGTCTTGTAACTGTCAAAGTAATGGGCATATGTGATCAAGGGGTTGACGTGTATTTCCATTTCAATTTTGATATGGCTTTCATCTTGAGAATGGCCGGAGGGCCTTTGAAATTCCATAAACATGACAAAGCACTATGGAAGCAATCAGTCTTCATTGCATGTTCTAAATAAAGCCCCGCGAACTCAATGAAGTATACTTCCAAGGCTTGTTGAAACATTGTCTCACATGCACATCAAAGTTGGCAGACCAAAGAACGTTAAAAAGCAGACGAGGTATGCAATCTACAGACATTACAATCAAGGAAGGTACATTACTAACATTTATGGCCCAATTAGAGTCTATTAAGCAGAGAAACTTAATTTGATGAGGATATTAGAACGATGCGTAGTTTTACAAGTCCCCCATCTTGTCTTCTGCAAAAGTCGCACCTATAAATTTGAAAGTGCAGAATGCCATGATGTACTCGTAATTACACGTAATTACATACACAGATTCACATTTACCTGACGCTACCAGATTTAATTATCCAACATGGCGGACAGCACTTACGTCATAGTCACGTGATTGCAAACACCCCCGCTGCTCCAATGGTGTTCCAAGTACTCCCCCTTCCAACTTTTCCCACCAAGATTCGTGTACACGCCTTCAGGAGTTTCTACACTTAATAAAGTCTATCGGTTAGTCAGTAAAACCTTAAGCATTTTAAAAGCTAGAATGTATTTTCCGTGTACAATAATTGTTTTAACCTCGCGCACTGCACACCACTAGTATCCTTTCAGTTTGTGAACACATCAAATCCACCACATCGATCTTTCTGTCCACCTTCACCCTCGCCTACACCCTAGCTACCCTTTCATGCGCTCTCTGTGGAGAGTTGGAATCGAATTACCTTTCC